CTATTGTAGATCTGGGTGCAATTAAATTGTTGAAGAAATGAAATGCAGAAATAAAAAAGATGTGAAATGCTTAAACAGTCGTTTGTTCGTTCTTAATGTTGTATTAACGTTAATTGACAAAGGCAGCTCACTGGACTACGCTGTTATCAGGGCTCCCTCTAGGGGTGGGAATCGCCAAAGGACTGGCAATATGATTTTATCACAATACTTAGGTCACGATCAATATTATTGTGATACTGTGATATGCTGAGTATTATGATACAATATATTGCGAATTATTACCTTTTTCCCAACTGCTTATTATTTCCCCAAAGGAAATCTTTGTCAACGTCAGTTTTACCTCAGAAGATAAAGTTTTCAGTCTGTCTATCTGACTTTAATCATTTTTATTGCGGCAAAATGTGATGCAACGTAGACAGACTGACCAACACCATCATAAAAGCTGCCAAACTAAACTGTTGGCATATTTAACGCCTTCTGAGGCCAGATTAAGCACAAGTTAAACACTTAACATGCAGATATCCCGCTAACTGAATGCTTGTGACATTCTTGTGCTGCATTTGGCAGAAGGTCTTTGGTGTTCTGCTGTAGTTTGAATAATGTGCAACAGTAGTCTCCAGTCCTCTGTGAGGTAATGTGATAACGCAAATGCTGCTGACTGAGACCTCTGCTGACCTCGCCAGGAATAAAGAAGCTTCAGCACCATCTAGCGGACTAAAAGGCAATTATTTATTATTCTAGTACCAAAAGTTGTATTAAAATGTGTATTTGCAAAAATTATACAAAGATCGATACTTGGTGTCCATGAATCGATTCCATATCGCCATGCAAAATATCACGACATTATGCTGTATCGATTTTTTTTTTTTTTCCCCACCCAAAGTTCCCATGGTCATGGAAAATCTGGAAAAGTCATGGAATTTGCTAACCTATGTTCCAGGCACGGGAAAGTCTTGGAATTTTGTTGTGTGTATTGAAAGGAATTGTTATAGTAATCTTGCGTGGATAACCCTCCACATAATGGAACTTAACAGGAATTGTGTTTTCTGTAAGCTAGTTATTGACATAGCATAGCTCTAATATGCACCAATGTGTGACATTTTGTTTACCATCACTCATGCATCTTCATTTTCTCTCCCTCCTTGTATGCCGGTGAGCTGGAATTATGTAAGAGAAATAATGTGACAGTGTGATTTAACATGTAGAGCCATGAATCTTGCTCTGCTTTGCCCCATTACTACTTTTAAAAGTTGGTTTTATACGCTGTGAATGGCAATGAAAATTTTATTATGGGTACTTGAAAGGTTTTTAAATTTTGTCTAGGGAAATGTGGAGGAACCCTGTTGTCAAACTCAGATTTTTTTAATAACCCAAAACATAGCCCCGTCTCTTTTTTAATATACAGGGTTTTTTTACACAATATATTATTTATGTATTTGTAGTTGCATTTTGTATATTATGTATATGTACCTGCATTTTATTCCAAGCTTTTCAAAAGGAAATGCCCACTTAGCCATGAGCAGAAAGCAGTGACCGAGGTCAGAGCTGCAGTACATTAAGTGAAAGGCTAAGTTCAGATTTTTTGAATTGGGGTCACATGAGGTACTCAACCACAGTCAATGTAATATTCTTACCACTTTGCCTTCCCGTCAGATGGCCCTTTGTGACGGGGAACTGTAGCCCTGATATCACTCTCTTCAAAGCCACCAGACTCCATTGATACACACAGTAATTTTACCTTGCAGAATACTGGAGTTGCTGGTGTACCACTGCCTCAGTCGGTTGGTTAGTTTGTGTTATTGTGGGGAATCTTTTATTTAAACATAGCCATATGAAAGTTGTGAGTTAAGAAACGACACTGGAGCAGTTCGGACATGCTTAAAGTCATTGAAAATAGTCATTTATTTCTCGTTCAGCTGTCTTACGATGTGATGCAGCAACAAACTGTAGCTATGACACGACCCGTCTCTTTAAACAAACATCACACTTTCTTTTTTTTTTTAACCAATACATTATTTATTGTTGCTCATAATATTTTGCTTTCGATATAATTCCTATGTTACAGGTACAATGTGCAATGCTGTATAAAAACAAAACATTTCTATTCAAACCCAAAGGATACTTACTGTTCTACAAGTAACCACCACAGAGAAGTGCTCTATTCCTTATCTGGCTACTTCCGTAGTTATCTTAAAGGGTAAAAGGGACAGCTGAGGTTTTTTATCAAGCTCGTCAACATCGTGAACTACAGGAGTCCTTTTGGTTCGTTACTTAAAGGAGAACAACGCTGATTTTACACATCCAGATGTAAAGGGCGGGCCTATCTGCTCTTTTCTAGATCTTTCAAATGGAAACACCCAATCAGGCGTTAGCAAAAAGCAGGGATGTAGAGCAGTGAGCACTGAAAGGGTTAGTTTGGATTTCTTGAGGTGAGGTTTGAGGTACTTATCCATTGTTAGTGTGATGTCTTCACTGCTTTTCCTTGCCATCAGATAGTCCTTCCCGACGGGGAACTGAAGCTGGGTATCTATGCTTTTACCTGGCAGAACACGGGAGTTGCTGGTCTACCGTTGCCTCGACAGTGAAGTTAGTTTGTGTGATTATGTGAGTCTAAGATCTAAACCAACGTGGCGTCCACAGCAGTACATTTTTTTTGTTTCTGCACTGGTTAGGGGGTTAGAAGAGCTAATTTGGAAGATCAGTGACACACAATTCTCAAAGAAGGCTTGGCTCAGTCACAAAGAGGCACATTAGGTGGGCTACGTCATCATGCAGAAACCCGTCAGGCAGAGTTATAATACTTCACCTGGTACCCACTGGGTAACCTGCAAAATAGTTGTGGGGCATGGAAATGTGGTGGGCATATGGTGAGAACAAAAATAACCATAGGTGCCTGAGCTCAGCAGCTTCTGCCTGATCCACCAACTATATCTCCTGGCAGACTGATTAAATATGCAGAGGATGTTTGACACAACATTCCAGAGCTGAGGCTGCAGCTGACTGACAGCAACAGGACAGTTACTTATGATATGTGGACGGATGATAACCTCAAAACCGGCCATCTTTGTGTCACTTTACATTACAACAAGTGGGAGCTGACTGAGCGAGTGCACATCTGCATGGCACAGTACATTTTGCAAAACGGAGTATAGACATGATCACACATGCACGCAATTAACATTGGTGAATTTTTGCCTTCCGTTCACTTCTATTCAAAGGCTATATAAAACATTCCGTGGCAAAGCCTAAGACAATGGAAACTGGACTGATAACATCATATTTCACTGTATTTATTAGCAAGCTAGCTCTCTGTGGTTGCACACCTGGCACCGCCTACATTCAGAGTGAATACCTCCTCAGCAAGTGATGGACATTCCCCTGCATTCACTCATGCGACCATGTCCTAACGGCATAACGGTTTGTTTAATCATGTGTCAGGTCGCGGGACTTGTATTAACGGATGAGGGCAGATCTGGTTTGGTTACAATACCGAGGTTTGGGGGTGCGGGTTTGCAAAACTGGAACGGTGCAGGTCTCTGACGTCAAGTCACACGGGAAAACGTTTCAAAAAGGGCTCAGGAAAATAACATTTTGACGCTATAACATACTTAAATCGACCAAAATTTGAATATTCGGATTTGAATTCATGAGGAACCACACTGGGGAGCTACAGAACGATTTTAAGACTAAAATCTAAAAATAATGGACCCACCCTTTAAAAAGTTGTATAAATCCTTTTGTGGTTTTTATACAAATAAACTGCCTCATGTGATGTCATTTGAGTCAGCCTTGATTTGGTCTGAAGGAGGTGTGGAGTTAAAAAGAAGTGAATTCACTTGACCTCTGTAGCCCACTGCTCGTCTCTGGCTACATATTAGCTGCCACTAGCATAACACAAACTGCATCTCCAACACAACTGTTGTCGGTTGGGTTGCATTGTGGGTAATGTAGGCACCTGTTATTTAAAATGAGGAAGTGTGGAATACAACAGATGATATCTCTGGTTCTGCTGCATTTTTGTTTCTTAAACTGCTCACTGTAAAGGAGTGTAATGCTAAACAGGTGGAGTACTCTTTTACTGAAGCACCCTCAGTGGTGTTTTATGCTCAGATAATACCGTGGTTATCAGTGCTAGTGCATGTCAGAGGTCGTTTATATGAACACACTCCCTTTCAAATGTACATCCGACTAATAGAAGACATTAAAAGTCAATCATTTGAGTGAACCCGCAGGTCTCCCGTCCTGTCACAAATTTGATAAGCTTGATAAAAAATCTCAGCTGTGTCTTATGTGTATTTGAAACTCAGTAGTAGGAGGGTTAAAAAAAATAATATATCACCTACTGAGAATCCTAATTATGCATCATGATCGATGTCTTGGTGAAATTTTCATTCCTTTTTTTTTTTTTTCTTGAGTGCTGACATTTATTAACAAAAGAACCAAAACAAAATAACTGAAGTAATACTTTCAGGATTAAAAAAGTGTAAACTTTCACAAAATATAAAACTGACACATTCGAACCATAAATTATAAACATGTAGTCATGCATTTGTTCACAGGGCTGCATACCGTTTAGTCTTACATTTTTATCTTACAAATAAAATAAAGTTAGATATTTCTCATGTGGTATGTAATGGATATTTACATTATTATTCATTAGTATTTGATGCATTAGTGTGTGGAGTATCATGGAGGATGCTCCCAGAGTGAGGATTAGAGTGTTTAAAGGACAACGAGTGTGGTATCTTGTGCGTGCGTGTGCGTCTGTGGAAGGGTTTTTGCTGAACTGGAGCAGTGGCCTAAGGTTACCTTGGTAACAGTTTTGCCTAAAACAAAAACCCTACTGAACTTAAATGACATTTATCTGATGTCACAAGCTGCCAAAATATCTGATGTCAGGTTATGACAAATGTCCTATGTCATCTGATGTAGGTTTGCCAGCCAACAAACTTATGAGACACCATAAGTCAACTTGTCATAGTCTGAGTGTAGTAGGTGTGATCCCTCATGACAACAGTAATGTACTGCACTGACAGATTGGTGTACGCCTGTGATGGTAGCTGGAGGGCTTTACGAGCGTCCAGTGATCTATGGAGGTCCCGTGTGGGGTGCCTGTGGAGACCCCTGATAGGGTTGAGATGGCGACACCCACGCTCCAGCACTGGGAGGACGACTGGGCTCTCCACTTCCTGACTGATCCAGTTCAGCACTGTCACAGTCGGAGTCATCGCACAGGGCCCGACTCTAAAGAGGGAGGGATACGGAAAAATGATGTCATACATGACCTGCAGCAGACAGTCAGTGTGACATCAGTGTGAAATCAGATCCAGTACCAATACAACAATGTAGAAATACTAAGTACAGTAAAGATTCTGCTTTCAAAATCCTGTTTAAAGGGAGAGTTCATCCCAAAATCCAATACACAGGCTTCCTTCTGTGCAGTGATGCAGCTGGCAGGTGTATTTTGGTAGAAAGAAAATAGTTCCTACATGAAACTGCCCACAACAAGGTCTGTGGATTATCTTAAGTAAGTGGGTCATGATTTCTGTAAAGAGACACTGCTGTCTAATTTTTAAAAAAATGTTTTGGCACTTTGAGCACCACAAGCTGAGTACCATCTAGTTCCATAACTTTCAAGAGAAGACAGACATCTATGACCGGTATCTCCAGCACTGGGCAACTCACACCAAAACAAACTAGACTGATAAACAGCACCACAGGTAACAGAAAAAAATATCTATTTTTGATCTTGGGGTGAACTGTCCCTTGTAGGGATGCACGATTATATCGGCACGCCATCCGTATCAACTGATAATGGCTTTATAATGAAATATCAGAATCGATCAAAACCTTGCGTGGAGAACGGGAAATGACAGGATACTCAGAAAGGCAATCCAGGCACTCCAAAAATATAGAAAATGAGGAAGGAAATATTAAAAAGTCTTTATTGTAGCAGCTAATTCATTAAAAGAAACAACATGTTTCGACCACTGCAGGTCTTTGTCAGAGTTTTAAAGGTTTTTACGTCGGTTACAAATTTCTTAAACCACCATAAAGTAGATAGATAAACTGGTGCACAAGCATCCAGTCAGAGGATTTGGGCAATAGAGTTGCATAATTTTTCATAATATATGGAAATATCGATATCGGGATCGGTTATTGTCGAGCTGTTATATATCGGCATATCGGATATCTGCAAAAATCCAATGTTGTGCATCCCTGGTGCCTTTAAGTGCTTTCGGCAGAATTCAGATCCTTTTCTTGAGTAAAAGCACCAAGACAAAAATGTAGAATACCCTCAGATCATTGCTATTATATGAAATAATGTATAATTGTATCTCTTTGGTTGTCAGTGTGTTTTTTAATGTCCAATGTGTAAGATTTGGGGGGATTTAGTGGCATCTAGTGGTGATGTTTGCAGACTGCAACCAGCTGAAACTTCTACGCGTTAGAATTCATTCAGTTGTTCAGGAGGTTTTTACCAGGAGCCGAATTATCCGCAGAGGTCTCCTTCTCTTCTAAACAAACACGGCAGGTGATTAAAACCAGTAAGAACACCAAATAAAGCAGTTTCACATTACAAATCAGTGTTTCTTGCACCTAATTTTGACGCCACCTGCATCAGATGCAGGATTGAACCTGTCTCTTTATACTGCCCCTGAGTAGCTAAACTGTGGGATAAAATATCTAAATGTCTCTGTGATATACAAACCAAATATCCAACCCTCTCCATGTATTGCTCTATTTGGAGTCTTACCAGTGAGCTCACCACTGTCTGGATCCCAGTGTAGGGCAGTAGCCTAGCTAGGGTTATTCTGCTTAACTGGAAATCCCCTGACACTCCACCATTAAGACACTGGGTTAGAGACCTATTGATGTCTTTGAGCTTAGAGAAGATCAGATACTTACTTAAGGGCAAAACTGACCTGTTCTCAAGGATTTAGGACCCTATAAAGCTGACTTAGTGAATGCTGCCTTTTAACTCCTCCCTTTTTGTCTCTCTCCCTCTCTCCTCATTTAATTTAATTCATTATTGTCTTTGTTTGTATTATATTTTGTCAACTTGTGAGCCATGTATTAGGTTGTTGTTTTACCTCAGTCTCAGATGACTCAAACTGACACATGTGATCCTCTGTGGAGGAGCTGCTTTACCTCATTGGGATTCTGCCCAGCGTCCAGCTGAGCTTTGGCCTGTCCCAGTGCTCCATCTCTCTCTGACAGGCCATCGGAAGCCTGAGCAGGATCAGTGTTGTCCGCTGGGATCTCCGACCCCTGAGAGAGGAGGTCGTCGCTGCGGTCGTCCAACCTGTCGTCTGTGTTGGTGCTGACCACGTCGGGGGTGCCGCTGTGGGAGTGGTCAGTAGTGTGGCCCTCCTCACCGTCCGACACCGAGAGGTTCTCTGAGCTGAAGGTGGACACCGACTGGCACTTGGTGATGCTCGTCGGACGTCTGGAGAGATTAAAAACAGAACTGGGTTTAAATTCAGTGAATTAATGTTGTAAAGCTATGATGCAAATCAAAATGATTCTTTGTTCTCTGAATAAATCAGTGAATCTGTCAGAGAGGGAAGATGGCTTGAGGGAATTTTCCAATGACGAAGGACAGCAAGTTACTCACCGTCTCCGTGGTAACTCAACCTCACTGTCAACTTCACCCTCCTCCTCTTCTGATGACACTCCACGCCTCTGTAGTCAGAAACAGGAAAGATGCACGAGTGAGAATGATCAAAGCATTACCAGAGGAACACTGATGAGTGCGTACAGATATCTCTGTACCTGTTTGCGTGTGATGGCTGCCCTGTACAGAATGGCTGACGGAGTGAGGTGCTGACTCCCAATCCCCCCTGATGCCCCACGGGGCAACCTGACAGCTCCAGCTCCCTCCTCTTTATCCTCCCCATCATGAGGCAGACGTGGCGATCCAAGAGACCCCCGCCCTGCTGCCGCCCCCCTCCCACATGGCGAGTCTGGGCTGCTGGAGAACGGGAACGATGCAGCATCCTCACTCGGCGTGTCACTGCGCGGAGGGGTTTCTGTGAGATCATCTAGACCAGCTGCCCCCGCCTCTGATCCCCCTAACCCTGCAGAGGCACTGAGGCTCCCCCCTCTCTCCAGCCCGCCCACAGAGGGCTCCCCTTTCCCCTGCCCCTCTGCCTCCAGCGTAGTGCAGATGAGGTCAGGGCTGGAGGAGGATAGCTGCCTCTGCTGCTGCTCGTGGCTGAGGCCTCGCAGGGCTGCAGAGGGCTCCAGGAGCTGCTTGGAGGTGTTAGTGGTGGAGCTGTTAGCCTGGGCATTTGTGTCCCTGTTAGGGGAGGATTGATTCGCCTTAAGTCCAGCCAGGTCCCCACTACTGCCCTTCCCAGGCTTGCGATGGCGGGTCTTTACCCTCCGAGACCGGCTGGGAGAAGTGGAGCTTCTGTTGGGGCAGGCTGGGATTGTGACTTGCATCACTGAGGAGTCCATTTTGGGAATGATTACCTCAGACTTGAGGATGTCTGGCCTGAGGAGTAGGAAGGATTAGTCAACAACTACAATCCACAGACCTGATGAATATTCATTTCAGCATCAATCTTTCATCAAATAACGACTGAAATGAGATCACACACCTCTTTCCCGAGGGGAGTTTCTGTGGGACATTTCTCTTCTTGATGAGTTTGTCCATGGAGTTGGAGGAGCTGCTCTGCCTGGAGCTGTGATGCTTAAACAAACCTGGATACTTTTTATCCAAAGACTGCTCTCTCCTGAAAAAAAGACACCAAAGTGTAAATGCACTGTGGCTTATTAATACGTAAAGAACGTATACCCAGTGTGTTCATGGATGTACCTCTGCAGCTCTTTCTCTTTGAGCTCCAGCTGCAGCATGACAGCGCTGAGCTCCATGTAAAGGTTGTTTGCCCTCTCCAGTTTCCTCTCATAGTGCTCACGGATGTCCAAAGCATGCCTGAGAAGAAAAGAGGCTTCTGATTACCATCATTGTGCATCCGCATGAAAGACTCTGAATCCTCCACAATAGACATGCACTCAAGGCACTTATTTCATCCACATGGGCGGGCAAAGGAATGACACAGAGAAATGGGACACGGTGAAAGTGGCCTCATACATGTCAGCTAACATAGTAAAAGTACAATCATTCACTGGTTGCAACCATAAGCTGTATATAAAGATGGATGACATGACAGCTGCCTAAAAGCGAAGCCATCGCATCTCAATCTCCCCCTGGTGGCTGGCTGCGGTCATAAACATCGCCTCCTCCATGTTTCTGTCATTTTAGGTAGTGCTTATCACACTGGTGTTTGTTCAAGTGTTTATTTTCCTATAACTTTACTTCCATTTAGTCATGCTATGAAACACTGGTATGACATTAGTGAGGACGGCAGAGAGGATCAATGGACAGAGTGCCACTACCCTCTGTCCAGGAACTTTTTCAGAGTCGATGCAGGAACAAGGCTCTGAGCATCATCGGGGATCCTTCACACCCTCTCCACAGGCACTTTGAACTGCTGCTATCAGGCAAACGCTACTGCAGCGTCAAGTCTAGGACTAGTAGACTGCTTAACAGCTTCCTCCCACAGGCTGTTAGGATGCTTAACAGTTAAACTGGACTCTCCATTCCATGCACCTTATACATACTGCACGGCACCACACTCACTCTTCATCTTTAATTCCCCGTGCAGATGCACTGGGACACATTTAGAAGAGAACCTGGGAATATCATGCTGGAATGATCAATTTTCATCTTGCTATGTATTACAGGGATACTCTGGCTTCAAATGATGTCACCAGCGCAAGATAGCGGCCTGTATTCAGGTTTCATTTTTGTACAGTAGGAGGAATTGGAGACATGTCGTTCATTTTTACATACAGCAACTAATCTGACCATATATGTGAGATCCAAAAGTAAAAAAAAAAAAATCCAGACCTGAGCTCCTCTCTGCGCCGATTGATCAGTTCCTCATCGAGCCGGTGGAGACAAGTACCCTCAGATTTAATCTTCTCAAAGTGCTGTTTCACCTCTTCTCGCCATTCAGCCTGATGAGAGCACATTTCTGTTAACCAGCTCCGTCTCGCCAGAGCTAACTTTAAAACCACTTCTGTTTTGCATGGCAGCTAAAGTCTGGATGATGTGGGAGCCTGTGTATTTGTCTGTGTATTTAAATGTATGACTTGTGTGTCTTTTGGTGCTTCTACACATCTTCCATAGTCACACAGGGGCTCTGAGGAAGCAACCATACCTGTGACTTGAAGTACGTCTCTTGCGGAGTGGACAGCACATCAGCTGACGCTATATCCAGATGAAGAAGTATCTGACGGAAAGAGGGCCTATTCCTGGGCTTACAGTTCCTGCAAGTCCAAGACAGGGAAGACAGCTGTGCACATTTACAAGGCACTGTAAAATCAATAAAGTCCTTAAACCACAGACTAACGCCTCTCCGTGCATCTACTCTTAACTCTCACTTCTACTCTAATCTGCTCATTTTCTGCCTCTCTTGTCTTCTCTGCTGCACTCATTATGTTTTTCTCCATTTCCAGGCATTACTCACCAGCACTGTCTGAGGAGGATCTTGAAGCCGTCCGGGCAGCTCTCAGGTACGGGCAGCTGGAGGCTGTTGTTTCCCACACCCCAGATAATGGCAGACGAGTCCACGTCTTTGTAAGGGATCTCTCCGGTTAGCATCTCCCACAGCACCACTCCAAAGGACCTTAAAGTTAAAGGGACAGTTCACCCCCAATTCAGAAATACATATTTTTCCTCTACCTGTAGTGCTATCTATCAGTCTAAATTGTTTTGGTGTGAGTTGCTGAGTGTTGGAGATATCAGCCATAGAGATGTCTGCCTTCTCTTGACTGTAATGGAACTAGATGGCACTCAGCTTGAGGTGCTCAAAGTGCCAAAAAAAAAATACATCTAAAAAACTCACCAGCAATGTCTCTTTCCAGGAATCATGACCCGTTTACTCAAGATAATCCACAGACCTTGTTGTGAGCAGTTTCATGAAGGAACTATTTTCTACTACTCTAAACTTAAACTACACCCACCAACCGTATCACCACATAGAAGGAACCATGCATATACTGCTAGCTTACCTAGCAACACTGAGCTCAGCCGAGGAGGACGCCATTAATGTTTACATCTCGCACTCTAACAAGCATCTCTTGTCAAAGTAGATGCATGCTTCCTTCTTTGCATTTGTAGGTGCCAGCTATTGTTATTGTAGTATTTTGTATTAAGTTTCTTTGCATACCATATTTGGTCACTTATGAGGATGTGTCACGTGGTGTTGGTGGTACGTCAGCAGCGGTAGTAGTAAAATCAGCTGTTCTTCACCGGGCGGTTCTTATGAATGAACTGAGAGGGTGAGGGGGGAAGTCTCACTTTTGCTGACCGCTTTGATCGCTTTGATGCTTTTGATCGCTCAACACTAGCAAAAGGAATTGTTTTTAGACTTTGGGAAGTTGTTTCACTGTTTGTTTTATCAGCAATAAATATGTAAAACGCAACATCTTTGGAGCAAAGATTTATTGACATGCCAGCGTGTCCGGCAAGTAAAGTTTTTCCCCTACTTAGCCTCTTGGCGACTATATTTTTGCTTTTTGGATAGTCGCTCTACAGCATTGATACTGTTGGTGGGTGTAGTTCGGTAGAAAGAAAATAGTTCCTACATGAAAGTGCTCAGAACAAGGTCTGTGGATTATCTTGAGTAAACGGGTCGTGACCTGTAAAGAGTTTATTTTCCTTGACGGAAACTATGATGAAAATCTTTTGTCAACAACCTTTTTTCCATGACAAAAACGAGATGATGATGACCTAAAAATGGATACTGATTATAAAAACCAAGACGAAATCTATGTTTCATTTTTGTTGACGAGACAAGACGTGATGAAAATGTTCGTGGTCAACTATCGGATGTTGAAAGCCAAGAACAGCCATGCTTGTAATTATCTTCAAATGCAGCATGAGCCGACAGACTGGCAAACTGATCTGTAGAAGGACACATTGCTATTGAGCTTTTAAAAGGTATTTTTTCAGGCACTTTGAGCACCACAAGCTGAGTGCCATCTAGTTCCATTATATTGGAGAGAAGGCAGACATCTCTACGGCCGATATATACAACACTTGGCAACTCACACCAAAACAATCTAGACTGATAAATAGCACTACAGGTAAGAGGAAAAGTATGTACTTCTGATTTTGAGGTGAACTGTCCCTTTAAGGCAAGCTTTATTCTATAAACTGTTAACTAACCATATTGATACAATATCTGCTCTCCTACTGTAGTACAGTACATTGAGATAAATGCTGAATCGCTGCAACCAGCCAAGAAAAAAACATGCTTATGTATTTGTAAAATAGAAAAGATCAGTGTGTGAGATTGTTAAATGTCAGACGTACCAGATGTCCACCTTTTCCGACACTGGCTCATTCCGAATTACTTCAGGAGCCATCCAAGCTACGGTGCCGGCAAATGACATCTTGGTGCTCTTGTCACTGAGCTCCTTTGAAGTGCCAAAGTCTGAGATCTTCACCAGGTCATCATGTGTAATCAGCATGCTGCAAAAGCAAGATTACATCAGGTTACATGGAAATAATAAGGAATCGATTATAAATGTTCAGGTTTGGTGTTGGATGAATCTTTCATGTTGAGTTCGTGGACTTACTTTGGGGACTTGAGGTCTCGATGGATGATTTTGTGGAGGTGCAGGTAGTTCATGCCACCTGCAATGCCCATGGACCAGTCAACCAGGAGGGAGGGGGTGATTTTACGGCCCGCCCTCAGCACCTCGTACAGCTGGCCTTGGGCACAGTACTCCATCAAGATACAGTAACAAGGAGCCTGGGTGCACACGCCCCTGGAAGACAGCACGGCAGTCAGATAACATAGTACAGAAAGGGAAAGCACAAGAGAGTGATGCAGTTAGACGCAGGATGACCCTGCAGGATATTGGGAGTTTCCTCACTTGAAAGTGATGATGTTGGGGTGCTTGAGTTTGCGGAGGTGTTTGATCTCGGTCTCTTTGATGTCCCGGACTTTCTTCACAGCCACATCTTCTCCGTGGAACTTGCCGAGGAAGACGGCCCCCTGTGCCCCGCTGCCCACCCATTGCAGGTCAGAGATCTCCTCAAAAGGGACCTCCCAGGACTCTAAACTCAGACCAACAAGTCCACAAAAAGAAACTCAATGAATAAATGTAAAAGCATGAAGCATTATACAGGATTTAAGTGGAAATAGCAACGTTTGGGCTCAGACTTGTCATTATAACATAAATGTTGATTGCCTAATGTAATGGCTATAGAATAATGACACCATCAGCATTTAGATTGGTTCCCTATAAGCCTCGCTTTTACTATCTGCCACTGGGTACCATCTCCCAGAAAATGAAGGCTGGATTTAAGGCACAAAGGAAGTGCATCAACCATTGTGTTTCAACAAATGTCAAGGTATAGCAATGTGACATGACCTCAAGGACTTCCCATGCTTCTGAAAACTGTTTTAACAGACACAGCTCTCTCACATTCACAGTGCTTAATGCTGCAGGTAATGCACGACGAGAGCAGTGAAAACACCTTTAATTTTTTCTATCTTGGCACGTATGTCAGCACCATGGACAAAGAGCATGCAGCCATTTGTTTAGACTTCACAGAAAATAAAGAAGTGCACTGAATCACATGCTGGAAGTTTCAAAGACAAAAGGCAAACAGGAACAAAATAGGAACATTTATTGTAGTTTCAAAGTGAGCACATGGCTATGGTACTTTCAGTCATAATAACATGATTGAATTCATTCGATACCAGAGATTAAGGCACCTAAAATTATGGAAATCGTTTGTAGAGGCAGTTGGACACTTATCTAAAGCAGCTTGGCAAAGTGTTTCCGTAACATGCGATCAAAAATCATGGAGGAATGAACAAGTTAACTCGCTCATATTCACTGATGGCCATCTTGTGGACCCGTTTTATGTGTTACGCATTGCTAATACGTAACACAATCACAAGAACACGTGCAAATGCTCAAAATGTGCAATATATCTCTGTTTACCCAGGGAAGATTTGTGGAACACACGTGATCAATTTTGAGGCAATACCGGGAAAATAATTCCTAATTTTCAATTTATTTAAAAAAAGAACTGAAGATACACAATTGACGCTTATGCCAGTGCACAACCAAAACAGGAAGAGGATAGCACTGTTGTTTTCCATGGTAGCTATCCCCAGTTACCAAAGAGTATCAGTGTAAGTTCTTTGCAGGTACTATCCCCCGTAGCGGAAATAGTGTACGATGGAACAACTGAAGTAAATGGACTGCACTTGTATAGCGCCTCTGGTCTTCCACTCAAAGCGCTTTTCACACTACAAGTCACATTCACCCATTCACACACACATTCAAGGCAGAGGCTACCTTACAAAGTGCCACCTGCTCCTTAGTTTTTTAACACACACATACCGATGGGACAGCCATCAGGAGCAAACTGGGGTTCAGTATCTTGCTCAAGGATACTTTGACATAGTCTGGAAGAGAGGAGATTAGTGGACAACCCGCTCTACCTCCGAGCCCTGGCCACCCAAAGACCTAACTGTGGAAACACTACCCAGAAAAACAAATAGAGCCCTGTTGCTGGGTTCTGAGGAAAACAGAAAGTGAACCAGTTGTCTTTGCATCAGCGTCGCCAACAACAGTGTTGGAGAAACTGCATTAAAACTGATGTTTACCAAACTTCAAGCTACTTCACAATGACATTTGATAAAAAGAAATTGCTTGTCAAGGTGAAACTAGCTTCAAAAAGTGGTTTAACTTTATCCAAACCACATCATGGGAAATGATTACAATCTTAGCCTGGAGTCTCATATTTTTACACAGAGGTACAACTGAACTGACGCTGAGAAAAGTGTGGGCAAGCCCTCACCTCGGCAACCTGAGGATGTGTTGTGGAGAAGATAAGGAGCGATTGTTGGGTCAGAATCAGGACAATGCTAACAATCTTGGGAAATTTATAGCATTTGATTACAGACACCTTGGCTACAAACCAGAGGTGATTGTAGTCAAATACCAGGTGAAAACTGCAACTGCGGCCAATGAGCTGTGGCACTGTGCCATATTTTACGGCAAAAAACATAATGAGAATACTATGAATATGTAGTTTATAATTAACTGCATAAACTACATGTCCCAAAGCACGTGGCATTAATGTAGTTAAACTGACACCCTGGTGCAGTGGTTAACATTGTTGCCTCTCAGCATGAGGGTTACTGGTTCAAACCCCAGGGTGAGGGAGCCCCTCTGTGCGGAGTTTGCATGTGTCCCCATGTCAGTGTTAGTTTTCTCAGGGTACTCCGGCTTCCTCCCACAGTCCAAAGACATGCAGGTCAACTGGTGATTCTAAAATTGGCTGTAAATGTGAGTGTGAATGGTTGTCTGTCTCTATGTGTCAGCCCTGTGATAGTCTGGTGACCTGTCCAGGGTGTACCCTGCCTCTCACCCAGTGTCAGCTGGGACAGGCTCCAGCCCCCCTGTGACCCCCAACAGGATAAGAGGTTACAGGTAAATGAATGAATAAACTGACACCCAAGTAGTTAAACTTTTAGTTGAACTACATGTAGTTAACTACTTCCTAGTCTGAGTGGGCAGAAGTTCGCTGCATAGATCAGCCTCTCATTGGGCGGAATGAGCCACCCGCTGAAGTCCCGCCCTACCACCTCCGGTTGCAGTTTTCAACACGTCCTTTACTAACTTTTGCGGTGTTTGATCTTGCAGGGATGTAGCCATTTTTCTGCCATGGTTCGCGTCCTGTAGGCGATATTTTTGTGGGCGTGTTACACCAAAACCTGTTTCCCCCCGGCAATATTTTTGCAAGCGCACCATTGCTGTGGCACCGCCCAGAACGACTGTGATTGGTTGAAAGAAATACAAGCAGCCGGGGCGTTTATTTCTCCAATCTTAAAGTGAGAGTCGGCCCAGCCAGACCTTTCTTTTCTTGAGAAAGGTCTGGTGTGCGAGACTAACTACTTCCCAACACTGGCCAAAAACAACACTACTTGGAAACGTGAGGAGGGAATGAAAAGTTGCCTGTTTCCACTTTGACACAGGCATTGCAACAGATTTTTTTAGCAGCATTCTTTGAGTAATGACTTAATTTATATCCATCACACACTGCAAAACCTCCAAATGTCAAAACGCATGCTTGCCAGTTTGGGCCGGGAGGAATCAGGGGGCTTGCTGAGCAAATGCTACGTCCACGCTACACATTAGTATGGGCTGGCAGGACACCATTGCGTCATACAAAGTGCCTGCCATGTTCAAACAAATGGTATATTGATAACTTATCCAGTAGAGCATTACAGTTCCATCCAGAGATAAGAAGGGAAACAACAATCCACTCACAGTCTAATCTGTCTGTCATCTGTCACACTGACACGACTTAAACGACTGTGAGAGCATGGTCGCTAAAGAGAGACGAGCTGGGCAGAATAAAAGAGACAGGCAGATCAATTCTTCATGAGGTCCACTGAAGTGTCGAGATCTCTGAGGGGCTGCTGCAGCCCAGGCAGATGCACATGATGCTTCCCCTTGGCCAGCTGTGAAAACTCACTGGTGCTGATGACTGTGAATGAACAGACTCATAAACAAAGTGATGCTGCCAGCAGGACATGGAGGCAATGAAAATAATGAGTTCTAGTGTTGGAAAATTAAGTAAACCTACCCAAGCGCGGTACATAAATTCAATTTGAAGTGATTGTAGTTTAGTATTTGTGTTTTCCACTTCTTTATGCCACTTCTCTCAAACATTTCAGCAGTAAATATAGTAGATTTTACTCCACTATGTTAATCTGACAGCTGCAGTTACTTGATAAGCTTAAGAAATACAATGAATTGTTAAAAATGACCTGCGACCCTGAACCAGGACAAGCAGTTATGGATCAGGAATAAATAAATGTTTAAGATTAAACCAGTGATTCCTAACCTTTTTGGCTTGTGACCCCTCACAATAAAGCAGTGTGGCCTCATGTCATGTTGCAGATGTCTGAGCTTATAGTACCACCAAAGAGACATTTCTCTCCTAAACCTCTCACATGGTTCATTTAAATAACAACTGAAGGCCCAAAGATGTAAAATCATCCAATATTTAACAAAAAAATTTAGAAACAACTAGTGGCAACCAAGACCAACTGTTGCTTTGACTCACGTCACCTGTGTCCCAGCCAAAAAGTTGCACCTGAAAACACCACAGCCAATGGCCAGCTAGCACATACATTCTGTGCCTGTGTACAAGAGGATAACTTAGTTTATTTTTCTGCTTGCTAGGACTTTCATTCATTCATTCATTCCCGTAACCACTTATCCTCTTGAGGGTCGCGGGGGGCTGGAGCCTATATCCCAGCTGTCATTGGGCGAGAGGCAGTGTACACCCTGGACAGTTTAGTTTTTGTCCCGTTTGTTCTTATTGTTTGTCTTGTTCTTATTTTAAATAATGACTTTTTGCTGTTCACGTGTCCCTGTACCTGTCTTTTCTTGTCCTGTAATCACTTTATTGTGCAATTAAAAAAAAAAGAGGAAATGACTCTCCATACCAGCAGGCAGCGGTAGTCTATATTTGTCATTTAGAGAGGGAAACCTGAGGACCAACAGGTTCAATTCAAGACGCAATTTAGCCATTTAGCACATTAACAACACAACGATCAAAGAATATTTACCATGCGCTAATGAACAATGCCACAAATGATTACAGTTTCTGCTAGAAAGCTCAGTGGCTACAAATATAATCATACCTAATTTAACAAGTTTGCTTCGATCTCACACCCTCTTTAGTCATTTGTTTACTTTCCTCACTTCGGTTTCTCTTCTTGTGCACTGAGCTGAACTGCCATGATTCCTCTAACTGACAGGCTCCACTGTCTCTGACACAGATTCAACACGCTGAATCAGCTGAGAAACAGCTGACAAGGGCCGACTAGTGCCAACAAAGCGGGGGACGCTGCAAAAACTATGGCAACAGTCAACCTCGAAGAGCTAAAAACTACCGTTCCTCAAATGGCCACTTGAGGCTGGCACCAGAAACCAGTCAGTCCTTATAGACCACCATGTTAAAATGCCCAACTTTACAGCAGAAATAAACAAGTTTACAGCCTGGTACAAAAATGATTTTGGCCTCTACATCTAATTTCAACATTCATGACAACTGTATGGGGCGTGAATTTTTATTTAACTCACTGTTTACATTTTATTAAGGCTTAAAGTTACACATAATTAAGGGCGGGCTGCTTTGAGTGACAAGCTCTGCCGATAGTGTCTTTGACTTCTCAGTCAGATCCAGTCCTCACTCCTCCACAGCTACAGCCTCTTACCCAAATACGGTCACTTCTGGCTACAAAAAAACCAAGATGGCGACGGCCATAATGCCAAACTTGAAGCTTCAAAACGGGAGTCCACAAACCAATGGGTGACGCTATGGTAGCCAGTAATCATCTCATGACCCCTCACATTTATCTTGTGACCCTTTAGAGGCACTTGAGTCCAAGGATGGGAACTACTGGACTAAACTACACTTTTAATGAAGTGGATAAACTCTCTAACAGCTTCTTATGCATTGATGCGTCACTAACAGTCTAATAAGGTACTGTGTAATAATATCTCTGTCACAGGTGTATTTTTCTCTGCAGAACAAGTAGTTTAACTTTTGACGCTTTAAGTACATTTTGCTAATAATATCTCTGTGCTTGGGGCGTCAGTGGTTTAGTGGATAGAGCAGGCGCCCCATGTACAAGGCTGTTGCCGCAGCAGCCCGGGTTCGACTTCGGCCTGTGGCCCTTTGCTGCATGTCATTCCCTCTCTCTCTCTCTCCCCCTTCACACTCAGCTGTCCTATCAATTAAAGGCAAAAAACGCCCAAAAAATCTCTTAAAAAAAAAAATCTCTGTGCTTTTACTGAGGTAGGATTTTAAATGCAGGTGTATTTTTGGAGTGTTGTATTGGTACTTAAATAAAGAGTCTGAACAGTTCTGGAGTTGAAGCTTCATCCATGAGCTTAGATTTATTTTCTATAGTGCATCTCCATGGTTACGAAGGCACCATAATAAATCATGTAGTGAATGGATATCATGTTTGAATCACAAAATTTTGACTTTGTTCTGTGGTGTTTATCCAAAGCACAGCAGAGGGTCATGTCAGATAGCACAGAGGTGAAACATTTACTGTCACATACCTTCATGGCTATGTTTGTGTTCAGTGGAGTAGGCCTTTCCAATCATGGTCCACACTGGCTTTAGGCAGCCAAACAGTCCCTCCAAAAAACCTCCACTTCCTGATTGTAGCCGAATGTTCTCCGACTGGCTCCTGACGGCACCAGCCTCTGGACTGTGCCCCGCCTCGGCCCCGCCGCCACACTGGCAGGCCTCATGTTCATGTAGTTTTAGCACGCTGTTGTCAAAGTGGGCTGAGGGTCCATCACTGGGAGTGGGGCTGCTGCCGCCCGGCGCCCCCGGTCCACCGGTGTCGATGGACAGCACGTTACGGAGGACACACTGTGTGGGGGTCAGGTCCGTTTCGGGGGTGCAGGCAGGGGTGTCTCCATCGAGTCTTCGATAGGGGGGCTCTGAGATGGGGGTGCTGAAGCCTGACAGGGAGGGGGAAGGGGCACGGGGCTCATGGATACAGGTCCCACTCATTAGGGGTTTCCCCAACACAGCAGGTCAGGGTGGATGGAGGGTGGAGAGATGAGACGTACGCCTGAAAGAGAAGATTAATGACAAGAAATGCATTAGAATGATTTATAATCATCAGCCATGTTCAATCTCTGTGTTAAAGATATTCTAACTGCTTCCCACGCTACAAACAAGCGTGGATTAACTTCAGCTCTGGACACAATGCTGGAACGACTGCTCCCTTTACCTCTACCAGCATGGGCGGATTATGAGACAATGGGCCTCTGGGCACAGGCATGCAAAAGGCCCCACCACCTCTCTGACACAGGAGAGGACACACAGACTTTTTGTTGTTGTTATGCATCTCTCTGTGGTTTTGTGTATCTTTGTACTCATTTTGCATCTCTTGTGTTTCATTTCTGGTTGTTTTGCCCCTTTTTGTAGCCACTGTTTGTGTCTCTTTGCTGCTGTTTTACATCTCTTTGTAGCTGTTTGTGTCTCTTTGTTGTCATGTTATGTTTGTTTTTGGTTATTCTAAGTCTCTTCCTGGTCAGTACATGTCTCTTTGAGTGACATTTTGCAGGAGGAGGCCAGAGGATACCCTGGTCCTGTGCCTGCTAGGCCCATTTAAGCATATCTACCAGAGATGTGGACTTGAGTCACATGAATTGAACTCATGTCAGACTTGAGTTTGATGACTTTAGACTCAACCTGACAAAATCAAAAAAGACTTGGACTTAATTTCAACCTTTTGACTTGAAAATACTTGATACCATCCCCCAAGCCTAAAGATTTAAAAGTATGTTATTCTAAAAATGTGCCACAAATCAAATAATTTCCCTCCATTTCTTGAATCAATTAACATTAATGCTTTTCATTCCCAGCAAGTCGACATTTAATTCCCCAGATTCACTTTGTTTGGACCAATCCAACAGCCAAGGGCACAACTTTTGTTTTAACATGGGGGGGCACATATTAACTGGGGTATTTGAAGGTCCTGCCTTCATAAATTTCCTTGTGAATTTTTAGGCACCTAAACGTGCCTTTTCTGCATCAATTTATGTTGGAAATGTCCTGCTACTTCCTGTTTCTACCATGTGTAGCTGCTTCATCTTCATTCCATTTCATGGCAAATAGCAACCATTGTTTCTGAGGTTGCATGCTGTCACTACGTACTTTACAAGAGACAATGTTGCGTCAATGAGTCGTGCTCGAAAGAAAAGTCCTCTGCAACTTTATTCTTTTTACTGGAAGGGACAAATGCATGTGTTGTAAGTACTGAGGGGGGCATGTCCCCCAAAATCTACGCATGCTGACAGCATCCTGGCAAGTTGGTGGAGAGAACCATGAAGAACTAACGTTATGGTACTTAACTCCAGTTGGGGAAAATTAGATGAAAGGTAAATCTGTTTGTGCAGAGACGCAACAACATCCAACAAACTTGTTTTAACAAATAAATACAAATTTTAAAGGGTATTCATGTATGTTGTGAATTCAATATTGTTACTCTGTTGTTTAAACTGCATTACATTTGTTGAAGAGCACATGATGACTTTTTTAAGACTCGCAACTCAAAGTTTAGTCTTTGGGATTTGCCTGTCTTGACATGGGACTTGAGTGCAGACACTTGACTTGAATTGTGACTTGCAAAATAAAGACTTGCTCCAAACTCTGACTTCTACAGTCTCTTTTGATCCTTCAAGAAATAACTGAAGTGTGCATTAACTTTTCTTTTACTCAAGCAATGCAAAACACCACAACAGTGGAGTCGTGCTGTGAGTTGGGCATCTAGCCAGTCCCCCAGTTTAACCACTCCATCTCCACAACCAGGTCCTGTCTGAATCATGCAGGGGAGCCTCATCTCTCTGTGTGTCTACAGCATGAATGGGAGAACCAGCCTGCCCAGTGGAGCCATCACCCGGAGTGGAGATGGGCTTTATGAATGAATCTACCAGAGGAGGTTGTGCAGTCCACGGCCAAGGCTGTCACCTGTTCTTTAAGTGTCTCTCTGAGGGGCATCAGCGTGTGACAACATCACAGCAAAGCGACTCAGCAGCTCCCATATGTCGCTCGTCATGCATCAAGTGAGGAGCATTGTGTGCATCTGAAGAATATGACGAATTGCATAACCGCCTCGGTGTGGATGTGTACGTACGTCCTTCCGTCGGTCCGTCCGTGCGTGCATGCGTGCGTGCGTGCCTGCATGTGTGTGTGAGAGAGAGGGAGAGAGAGCACATGTACCCAATTCACATATCTTACACCAGCTCCATTTCTTGTACTGCACCACTGCATGAGAGGAGCCACGACGACTGAGCGAAATGAGAGCGTGAAAAAACGGGCAATAAACAAGCACCGGGCCTGTGCGAAGGAGTAGTGCACACACACACGCACACACACACACAAACGCAGGAAGATCAATCTTTAAATAACCGAGGATGTGATGATGACACTCAGCAGCATCATAACCGACGTGCATGAATTGCAAGCGCCCGATGCCTACTATGGTCCATGCCAAGTCAAACTGCCGCAGCGTCTCAACATTTACTCAACGTTGGCATCAACACACATATTTCGTAATGTGCTGCAAAAATATGATTTTTCCAGCATTCATCGACGATGATTGGTTTCTTGGCAGCATCAGTTGAGTGGTGCAGTGTGAGCGGCGTGAACGCAACCGCACCAAGCACCGAGCATCATACCTCACCGTCCTGTGGTACCTGATTTTATCAGCATTTAACCGGATAGTATGACATTCCCATACCTTTCTGCCTGCTTGATGTCGCGTTGTCAAGTGAAGGGGTGGGCTCGGCTTGCTATTTGTCGGCGATAATGAGCAGATCGTTTGTTTCTTCCTTCGGTCCTGGCTCTCTGTGGTCTCTCCAGCCGCTGGATCCACGACTTTCACGTTACCGGGATGGATCCCATCGGGCAAATTGTGTTATCAATAACCGGGGACCCATGCAACGTGAGGCGCGCTGGGTTTTTTGGGGGAGGGAGCTGTCTCCTTCCCAGTGCTGAATTGACGTCACGGAAATGCGAGTTGCACCACAAGGGGGCGCTGCCGACACCCTCTGCAAACACACACACACACACACACACACACACACACACAGAGGAATCAGTTTTCTATAATCACATCCATTATTTCCAGTCCCAAAATGTGCCCTTTCATTCACTGGTTTATATGTTTGAGCTTCAACTAGGATCCCACCCCGTGTCCTACACCCTGCTGCTGCTGCTGCTGATGTGTCCTTGAGCAAGACACACCGGTCCCCGCCGGCTCCAGAGAGGCTGCTGTGCAACTGACCATGCGCTTTGCCCTTCCTTCCCTGGTGAGGATGAAGAGACAGCATCATTATCTTAGTCATAATCACGGATCAGCTTTTTTAAAAATCTTTTTACTCTGAATACTTTGAACCTTTGCTCAGCCCATACTATATCTGCACAGTCTCTGTCCAGCTATTTTAAACAGTTATACACTGGAAAAAAGTGGGAGCACTTTTAAAAAAGCATCTAAAACACTTTCATCCACTGATGAATTTAAAGGCATCATAAAGAATGTGGTGACAGAGACATGTGCTTGTTTTTCTTGAGAGGCCACTATCTTTGAATAGTTGTTGTTTTATTGTGGATTTTTGTTGTATTAGGCTATATGTTGTATTTGTTGCATTTTAACTGTGTTTTTATCGGCTTTTTCAGTCTCGATGGGACTTCCTGATTAAATAGAATAAATGAATTTAATTTGTATTTTTTAATATTGTTATTGTATTTGTTTCCCCCTATTCTATATTTATGTTTCTTGTCAATGCAACAAAACACACACAAAAAAATCCTCCTATGTTAAACCTACTTGGCATTAAACCATACTTGATTATGCTTTTTTTTTTAATGCTTATAATGTGGTCAATAAAGAAACAAACAAAGACAAAACAAAAGTGACAAAGGAGTTAATTTGTGGAATATTTCGAAAATGTCTAAAACTCATTTTAAAATAAGGTGATTGGCAGATATAAAACAGAGTAATGGAAGTGAGTGTGTGTGTATGAATTTTTTTTGGTAGGCCTACACATTATATACATTTATTTTGTTTTGCTTCTTTCTTTAACTATCAATGTATAAATATAAAGAGAACAGTACAAAACAATTCATGTTAAAAGGGTAGGTACCTTTTTTTATTATCATAGACTGTTATTATAGATTTATTTAATCATTTCCTTGTTTTTTGTTTTGTTTTGCTTTGTTTTTTTCTCTCAATATGATCTCTTTGTTTTGGTTTTTGTTAGTCTCCAGTATCCTTTATTTTTATTTTATTTTTTGCACATTACTGCAACTTGGAAGACAACTCATGGTAATGACTTGTATGTTCATGGAAAATCTTTATAAATAAAGTGTTAAAAGGGCCTTTTGGTCATCAAAATTTGCTTTGGTTTGTCACAGCTTCAAAAGTAATGCCTTATTGTTGTTGTCGTGTGCATTATGAGTTTTATAAGTTGGGAAAAAAACATACCAAACTCAACTCAACTCAGTTAACTAAAAACATGATGATAGACGGCTAATGTGGAGGAAAAACACTTCAGGGAAAATCCATGTGGAAACAACTCGACTTGTATAATTAAATAAGATGCCTTGTGTATTTAAAGCATCATAACTAACAACAGTCGGTGTCTGTTTCAATGATGTAATGTCGCTCTGAGTCCTGAAGAGGGCAGCACATCAGCGCTCTGTAGCCGACTCCGCACCGTTTGTCCCTTTGACTTGCCGTAGCCCACACCGCGCGATTAACTTGAAGTCTGAAGCTAGCCCAAAGTGTCACAGCGAGGTAGCATGCGCTTTTCTTTTGTTTGGAAATACAGCGCGTGATAACTGACCACACTACGCAGGACACAACATACTACAAGGTAACTTTAACGACTTATAAACGAAGGGAAACTGTTGTCGCTAAAACGAGGTCGATATAAAAGAAGTTAGCTTGAACTAGCTTGCTAACTTTAACCGTTGGTGCTAGCTAACCAGCTGTTAGCCCGCTGTATAGATGTAAACATGGCTTCCACTAAGTCCCTCTGTGTTTACCTGACTGATACATGGTGTGTTTTCAGGGTCCAGAGGCTCCATCGTGTTGAAGATGTGCTCTCTGGTGTTGTTTCCTCCTCCGCTGCCCTCCGGACAGACCACTCTGTGCGAGTCCAACAACGAGCTGCTGTCAGGAACAAGTACTGAAGACCGACTGAAGCAGGTCTGAGTCAAAGCTGCTGTGGTCACTTAACACACAACTGATAATCTCTCACAACATGCCAATGTATTGTGGTGAGATGTACAGTATCTTCTTGTGTGTTTGTACTGTGCCTAGTGAAAGGTTATCATTATAGTGTTGTGTGTTTCCTGCAGGAGTCCAGTCCTCTGAGTTTATATTTCCCCCGAGAGTCTCTGAAGCTCCACAGTCGCACAGAAAGCAGCAGCAAGGCGGCCTTCCTGGATCACTCAGAAACACTGTGGATGAGGAGCGCAGCAGCATGGTAGGTAACACACACACACACACACACACACACACACACACAGATTAGGTGTAGGAATTACAACACAGACTACATTATGTACACACAGTTGCCACTTTGTTAGATACATCTAGCTAAGAATAATACAGTCCAATACAGCAGTCCTGTAAATATTCCCTTCCTGAGGGTTATAAAGTTGTTTTTATTTTCAGTGTATTAGAGCAGTGTTGTTGATGCAACTTCATGATCATCTTAGAGGCTGTAGTTTGTGGTGCTGTTGGACTATGTTGCAACACACACAGAGTTTCAATTCAGTTTTATTTATAAAGCTCAGTATCACAAATCACAATTTGCCTCAGAGAGCTTTACAGTGTATGACATCCCTCTGTGCTTGGACCCTCACAGAGAATAAGGAAAACTCCCCCAAAACCCCTTATGTGTATAATAATAGTAGAAATATGACAAATAATAACAGCAGTAGTAGGAGGCCTCAGGCAGGACCACGGCAGCAGCTCAACCACGACACACGATCCAGGCGTAGCTGCCATAAGATAGAACCTGCGAAACAGTGGAGCACAAAGGCTCCAGAGAAGAAGTCGAGTTAGTGACGTGCAGTGAAGCCCAGTTAGCAATATGCAGTAATAGGACATGAATGTTAGCAAATGGAGGAGAACCAACTTTTCAGAAACTGAGGAGAGAGAGATAATTCTTTTATTTGGCTTACCATTGTTAACATAAATAATAGAGACACCTGTCACCACAACCTGCAGTTTACAAAATGATCGTAGTTGAATCAACAACTTTCAACAAAAATCTGAACACTACAACCAACATCAGTGCCTTGAGAGTGTGTCAAGTTTGTAAAACCCACAGTTTATTTTGAGGTACAGTGAATTTCTCACGTATAGCTTTTATTTCAAAGTGCCAATTCCTGCTGTAGAGTGAATGACTAATGGACAGCTACTGACCTACATGTTGGTGTGATTTATTGCAGGACTGTTGCATTAGACTGTGTTTTACCCAGGTGTACCTAATAAACTGGCAGGAAATCAAATCAAATCCTGTGTTGGTCGGACCATAATAACATTGCTATAACAGACAAGTTATAGTGCATTCACTGTAACTATAACTTGATTTCCGAGGCACGTTTTGGCAAGTAGGACATCTTGTAGTTGAAAAAAAAACTTTTCATGTAGGCCTTGGAATAAAGTTTGTCCAATGTCTTTCACATACAAAGATCATTTATGCAACTTTTCTCTGTACATCTCAGGCGGGACGGTGGTTTCACAGGACTACTCGATGAAATTACCAACTCAAATACAGAAGGTACGCCAAAATCTTCTGTTTGCTCTAACACATACAGTGATGACCTGCTCCTTCACTATTTATCCACTGATGTGTTTATACATCAACTCTCTTGTATCTTGTGCTCTTGTAGTGCCTAAATGGATGTCAGTGATTTCTGGTTGTACCCTGGCGTTGTTGAGATGGTTCTCGTCCTTTCACGGCTCCCTGTTTCCTCACCTCACAGTAAGTTGCTGTTAAATGTGTTGATTACAGCAGTACACTTAATCACCAGATGTTTGTCAAATGGGTATTACCTGTTTGTCATTTGTTCTATAGATGAGCAGTGAGGACATGCTCGCTGAATTTTCACAAGTTTTGAAGTGGTGAGTGCCAACTTTGTCATCTGGCATTTATTTTTGCTTTCAAAGGGCAAATGCTTAAAGATATTATGTATTATGAATAAGCTGGTTGTGAGCAGACATGCTGATGAAGAGCTGAGAGTTTTTATTATATTAATATAACTGTAGAGCTGAAACGGTTAGAAAATTAGTCTGCAGCAATTTTGACAATCAAGTTGCAACCCCCAATTCCAAAAAAGCTGGGACTAGAGTTGCAGCGATATAGCGATTTGAAGGTATACTGTGATATAAAAGTTGATAGTTACCATACTGTGTACATTTGCTTATCTACGATTTTGAAAAAAAAAATGCAACTGGACGGAGAATCTTCCCTTCCAGTGTCTCAGCTTTTTTGGAATCGTGGTTGTAATTGGTTAAGTCATTTTTCAGTGTTCTAGGTTCTCAAATATGAGGATCTGCTGTTTTTTTGTTTTCCTACATTAAAGTAAACTGAATATCTTTTGAGTTTTCAACTGTCGGTTGAATTAAAAAAGTCACTTAATGACTTTTAGGGCATTGTGATGGATTTTTTTGACGGTTTTCTGGTGTTTTATAGACCAAACAATGAATCAATAGATTGAAGGAATAACCATCAGGTTAAAGGACAAAGAAAACAATCGTTTTGATTGGAAAAACTGTGGGATCTTTTTATACATGTGCAGTATTTTTAAGCATTGGCTTGAAACAGTACTTTAAACAGAAATTTAATAATAGATATTAAAAAAAATATATATATATATAAATAATATATTTTCTGCTTACATCCCTCTTTCTTCTCCAGGTCTGACTGTGTGGTGCGGGCCTTCGCTTGGCATCCTCATACAGATAAATTTGCCGTAGCGCTACTGGATGACTCCATTAAGATCTATAACCCCAAAAGGTACAGTAACTAAGCTCTGAAGAAGGCAGACAGAACAACTTGTGGAATTAAGTCTACGCTGCATAATTGTAGTTAAAAAGATTACTGCTGATCAAAGCTCTACAGTGCTACAATGACATGAAACACTAATGCAGCAGGAACAGTTCAAACAGCAGCGTGGTAGTATACTGTATATAAATGTTAATGTGCTCTGATACTGAGGCAGAATCCAGCGCTGGAACACGTCCAAACATTCAC